ACGTAGCAACTAGATAATCTGCAGTGGTTTCTAATAAACTGAGGATGTGGATCAGAACAATTAGTTTCAATAAATGGAGGTTCTGAACATTTTACTTACGGACCTCGCATGTTCTAAAATCAATGTTTAATGTTAGCAAACATTTCTTGTCAAAGCCCTGGTTATCGCTGCATTTATTGTCCCGTTTGTTTGCAATAAACATTAACAAACGCTCTTTTTAACATCCATGGTCCGCGCCGCACAACTTCCTCAAAGCTTACGTGGTTTACGGTTTTAACGTAGCATCTTCTTCTTTTATGCCAATTCAGGATGTACAGATGCAACAAAACGTAACACTGCCCCCTGGGGTCACAAATTGTGATGGGTTGCAGAATTTGGTGTAACACTGGTGTCTGCAGCTCGCTGTCTCGGACAAACTAAACACTCCTCTCACTCAGCGCCATGTTTACTCAGCTATTTGCCGACGTTGAAGCCCAGAAACAAAGATTTTAACCGCTCAGTAATGTGTTCACGACTGAAAGAGAAAGTTTTCCAACTAACTTCCAGACAGAGCTGATATAACTCCAGCGAGCAGCGACACGCTCAAACCAGCATGACTCTGTGGCTGCTGTAGTTGTTATTTTTCCTCCCCGACACACAACAACGTGGTCAAGCTGCTCAGATGCTCTCCATGTTCACCAGCACAAACCTATGTGAGCACCTGTTGTCATCTAATGTTGTCATTATTATGATGAAGATGAACAAAACAACAGGAGTCTCCTCCTCAGCTCAGATCAACCCTGCAGGTATCTGGCTGGAACAGGTGAGCATCACAGGAAACCAGTGGAGCAAACTGAGCTTTAAATATGTTGGTTTTATGCTCTTTTTCTGCTCCAAAACATGAAAGTTAACAGGTGAGATGTTGCATTTTCATTTAAGATAAAATGATATTTTTATTTTGTTGTTGGCCCGTGAGAAAAGATTTAACCTACAGTAAACAGGAAGTGGAAAGGCTGATGATAGATGAATAGAATAGAAAATCCCTTTATTGTTCCTCAGTGGGGAAAGCTAGACGTCACAGCAGCGATGACACGTATTACAGGAGAAAAAAGGAGAATAAAAAATAAGAAACATTCATAAACAACAAGAAAACATAAATTCTGAATAGATTTTAAAAATGCTGAATATACGAATACCACTGATGTGTTAAAACTAACTTGCTCGTGTGTAATTTGGTTATTCCACATTCAGTGTTAATGAAAAATAAGTTTGTTTCCAAATTAAAAGGTTCTAAATTGCATATATGTTGATAAAGAAAATGTGCACATCTGCCGTCATTTTTGCATAAAATATTAAGTTTGGCCCATTTATAATTAAACGGGTAAACTAGTAGTAACACATTCAATGTCAAAGAAAGTAAAGTGTTATCATCAGGAGAGGGAGAATGATTAAGTGGTTAGCAGCAGTGTTCAAGATGATGGCCCCCTCCATGAGGCCACCACAGCTCAGCAGAACATCGTTGTAGCTTCTTCTGGGAGAAAAACACTTAGAGAGAAAATAAAGTTAACAGCTGAAATAGCAGGAAATAATACAGTTAAAGAGCAGATTGTAGAAGAAAGTAGTCGAGTGTGGAAAGTGGTCAGTGTGTCCTCCAGCAGTCTAAGCCTATAGCAGCATAACTACAGAGATAACTCTGGATAACCTAGCCTTTTAGATGGAGGCATGTTGGAGGCAGGGCAAGGGAGAGCCGTCTTTACCGACTGTACACTCCACCTCCCTGTACTCCCCCACTTGTCCAGATCTAGGCTAACATCAGATTTTAACCATAGGCCCTATCAAATAAAAATGTTTTAAGCCTTTTCTTAAAAGTAGACAAAGTGTCTGCCTCACGGACTAAGGCTGGGAGCTGGTTCCACAGGAGAGGAGCCTGATAGCTAAAAGATCCGCCTCCCATCCTATGTTTAGATATTCTGGGAACCACCAGTAAACCTGCAGTCTGAGAGCCAAGTGCTTGGTTAGGAACATATGGAACAATCAGATCACTGATGTATGATGGAGCTTGATTATTAAGAGCTTTATATGTGAGAAGAAGGATCTTAAAATCTATTCTGAATTTAACAGGTAGCCAATGTAGGGAAGCTAAGACAGGAGAGATATGATCTCTCTTTTTAATTCTCATCAGAACTCTAGCTGCAGCATTTTAGGAGTTAAGTGCTAGCCCCGTAATTGGATGGTTGCAGGTTCTAGCCCTGCTCAGTTTGTTACTGTCATTGTGTCCTTGGGCATGACACTTAATGCCTTTTGCCTGCTGGTGGTGGTCGAAGGGACCGGTGGCACCAGTGCTCGGCAGCCTTGCCTCTGTCAGTGCGCCCCAGGGGCAGTTGTGGTTGAATCGTAGCTCATCCCCACCAGTGTGTGAATGTGTGTGTGAATGGGTGAATGACTGTTTGTGCTGTAACGCACCTTGGGGGGGGGGGGGTCAGGACTCTAGATAGTGCTAAATTAAATGCGAGCCATTTACCCTTTTGGACAAGCTGAAGACTTTTATCAACATTCTTTGGACTTCCTGATAGTAAGGAGTTACAGTAATCCAGTCTTGAGGTATGTCTTTATTGACACACCATAGCTACTTAAATAGATTTGGATTATTAAATGTCCACGGCAGGATACATATCCTGGGCAAAATGAACTCAGTGTTTACGCAGCTTCTGCGTATTAACACAAGTCCAGCAGGCCTTCTCCTCCTTAAAGAACAACATGTTTTCCACAATGAGCTCAGCATCCAACTTAGAGCCAGTTGTCAAGAGATTAAATTAATTGTGATTAATTAATTGTGATCAGAAATAAATTAATCTAATTCATCTCTTTTTGAAGCCCTTATCCTGAGACATACATGCTGCTGTGTTTGAGACTAGTCCCAAGTCCTGCTTCCTTTATTTTACACCTTTACTAACCCTAGCCCTAACCACTCACCATGCCATTTCACAAGGATCACCAACACACCAGTATGTCACCATGTCTACCTCACATGATGTTCCTTATTTAAATCTCAGTTCACATACGTCCTAAATGAAATGGTTCTGTCAACGCTGATGCTACGTGTGATGCTAATAATCTACAAGCTGTAGTGGGACAAGAACACACAAGAAGTCTGAGCTTCTGTCCTTCTCTGGAGGACAGGTGCAGCAGCCCATGCAGAACCAGAGTAAAGGCCATTATCAAGGACCTCACCCATCCACTCCAGACTGATCAGCCTCACACCCTAAGGCACATGTCCCTCCCAAGCCCTGATCTTCAGGCTGTTCAATACCAGAACGATGTTGAAGTTTCATAGTTGGTGTCTGTTGTGCTCTGTAGTGTCCAACACTACCCAGACAGGCTTGTCACCTTGCTCTTTCTGATGTTGATGTGGTTTCAAGCATTTCCACATTTCTGTGTTTGAGTAAACAGAAGCACATTTTGTGAGTGTGCCCTAGACTTACAGGAAAATATCCTGCATCCCAGTTTCTCCTTCTTTCTTTCTGTTTGTTTTAGGTTTAGGTTTGGCCTTTTATTCTTGGGTCAGACATGCACAGCATGGGTTGGGACTCATTGAGGAGGAACAAGATGTGATACTCTTCTCAGCCATCAGCTGATGGTTACAATGTTGAAGAAATGGTTTCTGAGAAAGGGGTAAATTCACACCCGCCATCCCTAGATGTAGTCACCACAGCCTGCATGCTGTATAAAGTACTCTGATATGTGGGTCTCTTCTCTCTGATCCACGTGGAAGCAGCAAGCAGAAGTAGGACAGGCTTCTGTTCTGTTTTGGTCTGAATCTCTGTGGGAAATACCAGTCTTCTGAAGTTGATGATGTTCTTGATCTGTCAGAGAAAGTCAATAGTGCACAACCAAGTCCACCTAGAAGAAAGTTGACAGTCAGAAATAGTGCTAATAACATCATGTTAAGGCCATCCATAGTTAGGTTAGTATTAAAGTACTTACTTAACACTAGATATGTATATTTTTACTTTTTTAAAACTTTAAGCTAGAACTTTAGCATTGATCTCAGTCATTTAGAAACCAGTTTCATATCTGACACCATTCAGCTGCCCTCAAATGATCAAAAACTGCACTTGGCCCCTCACACTCTCTAATGGACGCTCCTATAGAGAATCCTTACATAAACAAGTACGTGTACACACACAAGTGCTCACATGGTGCTCTCATAAGTATGGACTTGGGCATGTTCAACACATGTCTTAAGGCTGTGGTTGGCACTAAATGCACTGTGATTTATTATCGTGTGATTGTTCAGTAAAACAATGTTGATTTTATATTTCCTCATTAGGTTGACGCAGTGATATTTTCCTCTTACTGTTGTGTGCCCCTTTTTTGTTTGTTTTTCTGTTTCTGCAGGTCTAGAAGCAGACTCTTGCTCATGTTTATTTTTTATGGGCCCCCTCACCTCTTCCTTTTGTCTCTTGCTTTCTCTTTCACCTCTGTCTCCGTGTCTGGTCGGAATTAAAAAGCATCCAAAAACACTGACTATAAAGTTTTTAGTATCAAGCGTGACATTAAAAGCAGACGCTTTGATGCTCCACCTGAGAGTAAATCTGTAAGGCTTTTCAGCAGCATTCAGACATCAATTCTGTTTGCTTCACAGCCAGACAGGACACTGGGGGGGAGAGCTGCACCTGATATTTTTGTGGAGCGGGAAGGTGCTAGACAGAAAGGGCTGTTTACCTGCTTTGCGGGTGTTAGCTGTAATGCTAGTAGTCAGCATTTTCTGTTCGCTGAGTGTCCGTAAAAAGCACAAGAAGAAGAAAAATAAGAAGTTTGATTTTTCTGTTGGCATCAAGTTAGCCTGGAAGTAAAAGTAAGAGAGTAATGTCTTTGAAGATGAAGCAAAGAGCTAAAACCAGAGCTCAGCACTGCCTACAGAGAACTGAAGGAGGCTACAAAATCCTGGACTGATAGCGGCCTGGCTTTGTTGCTCCTGGACTTGTAAGTAATATTTTTTTTCCAACAGTGTGGATCTTTTTACTTTGTGGTTTACTTTAGTATTAGCCATCTCATGTTAGCGTTAGCTCGTTGTTAGTGCTACAGCCTTTGGGGTGGAGGAGCAGGAACCTTCTCTGTGTTACTTTAATCTGTGTTTACTGACTAAGAAAATTTGTTTTAATTTAAATATGCTTACAACTGATTCACCTATTCATCATTCAGTTTGCACAGCAGTTGCACTACATGCACTGCACCTCAGTGCTGGACCCCAAACCTGCTGGACCAGAACCCTGAAGGCTCCTGCCAGCAGGTGTCAAAGGAAGTGGACTGTGCTGCAGCAGTGACACAGATGGAAACACTTGCTGGGTAAACAACTGGTCATCCTGTGTGCGCTTCATCTCCACCTTATAAAAGGAGCTGTCCTCCCAGGGACGTATCTCACAGCGAGTCAACCTGTTGGACGGAAATGGGGAACGGAGGACTCCAGCTGAGTCTAGGACTTCTCTTCCTGACCCAGCTCCTCGGCTCACTGACCCAGGATGGTAAATCTTAGACAGTTTTTACACTGACGAGAAGATAATGAATGAATCGGGTTAAATGATCTAAATCGATAGGATTTCTTTTATAGTTGAATTTCTTTACTTTATATTTGGTGCATTGTTTACAGCTCTTTACCACATTCTTCCTAATGTCTCCCACAAGGAACGTTTTTGGTTTTAATTGTAAAATGTAAATTGAAATATTTTAATTCTTGATCTTTGTTTTAAACATTTACTAAAATGTTAGATTCAGAAAAAATCCTTGAATCTTTCTGATGGTTTACTGTTGTAAATGCAAACATTCACAACTCTTTGAGGTCGTTTGGGGTTAGGGTTAATTCATTGTGATCCACATATCACCTCTGAGGTGTCAGAAACATCTGATGCGTACAGAGAAGACTGATGAGGACTCATTTAGTCTCCTGTCTTTCCTCCAGTAACTGATACCTCTCCTCTACAAGCCTTGGCCCTTAATTCAGGTAACTTTTAAACGCAGTGATGACCTCTGGTTAAACTGTTCTCATCACATTGAAAAATAATGCTTTCTTTTGTTTTCCCACGGTTTTTTATTTGTAGCTAATGCGTCTCACATCGGTCGGGTGTGCACAACCTGGGGAAACCACCACTTTAAAAACTTTGATGGAGATTTATTCCAACTGGAATCAACCTGTAACCACGTCTTGGTCTCCCATTGTAAGGGAGGCTATGAAAGTTTCAACATCCAGATGAGGCGCAGCATCATCGACGACATCCCCACCATCAGCAGCATCACCTTAAAGCTGGATGGTTTAGAGCTGGAGCTCTCCAACAGTTCAGTGATCGTCAACGACATCACGTAAGTTCAGTGCGGATCTGTCCATTGGACAGGAAAGCCCGGATTAGATTCATAAGATCGTACTGTTTTCTGCTGCTTCAGAGCTGAATGATGTTTTAAAAGGGCAAATGAGCTCCTCATGAAGAAATGTTTATATTAGAACGACCAAATCAAACCTACCATCTGTCTTCACCAGCTGATGTTTCTTCAGGTTCCATGAAGTCAGAAATGACTCCTGCTCTGAGAAGGTTTAGTGATGATAATGTATTGATAATGATTTCTCCTCATCATCTATAGTCTTGTAAAGGAAGTGGATTAATTACTACAGTCAATATTGCGCACTCTTTATATAACTGTAAGGATTTTTCTAACTAGTGTCCAGGAAATGTATTTGATTTAATGTAGAGGCGAAACTTCAGAGTAGACCGTTGGTTAGTCAGGCTATGAGTAAATGTTGTAAGTTCCTTCTGTGGGAACCGACACGTCCTGTCCATGAGCTCAGTCTGAACTGGTGATGGACCATGCTTCAGTTTCAGCTGAAACATCTGTGTTCTCTGCAGGGTGGATCTGCCGTTTGTTGCATTTGGAGTGATGATCAAAAGCACAACGTCTGCCATCTTTGTTGAATCTAAGCTTGGAGTCAAGGCTATCTGGAACCTGGATGACTCTTTAGATGTATGAAGGTTTTCTTTTTACATTTATTTTATACAAATGTAAACATACTTTCACCCTTAAAACCAGCAGAAAACAACGCATGCACATCCTTGTTATGTAGACATTTTAACATCAAATCTCACAATCATACTAACGTCCACATACTTGTGTCTAATGAATCAGTCTATGCAAGTAGTTAGGACCCCATGTTCACACTAAATGAGTCATACATCCAGTGACCAAAGCCTACTGGTTGTGCAGCACCAGGCTAAAGACCAAAGGTGACAGATCATCTGCTGCTGTGGCCCCCAGACTCTGGAACTCTGTCCCCCTGAGCCTGAGATCAGTGGACTCAGTGGTCTCCTTTAAAAAGCAGCTGAAGACTCACTTGTTCAGGCTTTTGTGTGACCTTCACCACTAGGGATGTGTATTGGTGAAATTCTGGCGATACGATACTTATCACGATACAGGAGAGACGATACGATATATCACGATATATTGCGATACATTCAGTCGGACAATTGTAGCGATTTTTTTAAACTAAAATTATTATAGGAAAATTCAATAAATGGCCCAAACTGATACTTAAAATGATTAACATGAGGTATCTGAACCATAATAGAGGGATTTACATTTCAGTGGTGGAAACAAATTCCATTGCACCCTACTGCTGACTAGCGGACGGCATTTGATTTGCACCAAAAGAAAATACACAAATGTTTGCACGTAAATTCTTCCCAAAAAATCGATACACAGCTTTTGAACATCGATATAATATCGCAGGAAAAAATATCGCGATATATTGCTTTATCGATATTTTCTTACATTCCTATTCACCACCCTCTCCTTCTTCTGCTCTTTATACTTATTCCGTCTTTCCCCACGATCCACTGATTTCCCTCTTTCCTATTCATTTTATCTCTCCCTTTCCTTGCATAATTTTTAATCACAATTTTTCCCCTCATTTTAAACATATTTTAATCACTTTTTGAAATCTTTTTAATACTTTAATAGTTATTTTTTTGTTTGTGAAGCGCCTCGTGATTTTTCTCTTTGTAAAAGATCGTTTTCTGTCTTTCTCTCTTTCTACATCTGCTCAAAACACAAATCTATGTTCTTTAGAAACCAAACACGCCACACCAAACCGTTCAACAGGCTCCTTTAGGTGTTCCCATATGTATTCGTTGATGGTGTTTAATTTAGTTTTATTGGTCTTTGTATGATTTTGTGGTGCACAGCGCTTTGGTCAGCTCACACGCTCTGTTTAAATGCACTTTTATAATTAAATTTTGTATGGTATGGCAAAGGTCACCATCTCGGTGCTCTAACCACCTGAGCTTGTTCTGCACACGTTTCAAACATGCAGAGAAAATGTGCACAGTTATGATTTCTCATCTTTCTCCTTTTGGGTTTTCTTGACAGATTGAAATAGATTCCAAATACCAGGACCAGACATGTGGGTTGTGTGGAAACTTTGACGGCATTTCCAATGATTTCATGAAAGACGGTAAAGCTCTTTAGACCAGTATGGAGGAAAAGTATGAATCTTGTTTAAAACAGCTTTTCTCCTGGCTTCTGCAGTACTGTGAAAGTATCTGATGCACTAATTATTGGATGTTTTTTTTCCCTGTTCTGTCCAGCTGTAAAGCAAAAAACAAGCCTATAATGCCCCACTTGATATCAAAACTTTATAAAAAAAATGCTTTTATTTGTTTTTATTTCCAATGGGAATGGAGATGGAAATGACAGAGAAAGGGGGAGAGTTTGGGGGGAAAAGTTCTCAAAAATAAACAATAAAGGATGTAGAAGAATCTGCTCCTAGACCCGCAGAGAGAGAGAAAAATGGTCACAAATATACAACAGAACTGAGATATCACTGCGTCAAACAACATGAGGATCTATAACAGTGATAATGTTTGCTTTGAAGCACACAGTAATAATTAATTCATGGTGCATTTAGTGCCAACCACAGCCCAAGGTAATTTGTCAAAAACCATTGAGTCCTCCAAACAAACCCACTCCCAGGAAACCTCCGGATGCCCAAACTCAACACCCCACCACCACCAACCATAGCGTCCTGCAGGACTAAGTCAACGACGCTCCATCATTGCAATGGGATGGAACTGATCAAAGGGAGGAGGCACGGGCGTAACAAGTGATTTCTATTCTGGCTCGTGCAAAGACTGTTTTTATTTTTCCAGTTTGAGGTTATATGACGGAGGTGACGATGATGATGATGATGATGATGATGACTGTGTGACTGACTGGCTGTGCTGGTCTTTAGGGGTTCTGCTGTCTGTGGTTGATTACGCCGAGACTTTCAAGATGAACGGGCCAACAGAGACCTGTGAGGAACCTGAACCCAACTTCACCCCAACCTGTGGTGATAAAGTAACTGCTCAATCTTTAACATTCATCAAGTGAATATTCCCAACATGCTTTAACAGCTAACAGATCCTGCGAGTTAGAATAACCTTCTACAGCAGGAATCTTCAGGCTACCACTCAGAAAAACTACATTCTTTATTTACTGTGTGAGCTGGGCTGCTGTAATTTACTGTAATCTAATATTAGTGGACAATAGTCCTTATAATCTGGATTTGGCCCAGAGTTCACCAGTGGCTGATCATACCTCAGTGTTTCAGCCTGCTGAAGACGTACACCCATGACCATCAGTTTAAAGGGTTGGAAGCTAATTCTGCTCTACTTTTCCCAGTTTGTCTGTGAGCAGATCTTCTCAAGTGCTCCGTTCAGCAGCTGTTTCAACCTTCTCGATGTAGAATCCTTTACTGCAGCTTGCATGAATGACATGTGCAACTCAAACAACAACACTAGCTCCATCCTGTGCAAAACCATCTCCGAGTTCTCCAGACAGTGTGTCCACGCTGGCGGCAGCCCCCAGCCTTGGAGGAATGAAACCTTCTGCTGTAAGCCCAGATGCCTTCTGCAGCTTGATTCTCGTTACCTTTTCAAGATTCACTTTCTTGATCCAATAAAACATAATTGTTCACACAGACAAAGCATGTCCATAC